AAGTGTAGTGTCATGAGTTCACACCCTGTACTAGGGGAAAAAAAGCCATCACCTCAAACTCCAAAACCAAACTAAAGTGTAAATTTCATGTTTTTTTTATAAAACAAATTCAGACCTACCTCTTTCTTCACAATATTAACCTTTATCTTCTTATTTGTTCACTATAAGTCAATTTCCAACTACATAAAATAGTTACAAATCAGTTGTAATGATTTCGTCATCTTTTCATATGAGTAATCATTTACTCACATAGATTTTGAATATTTAAGCTATTTACTAGGAATCACGATGCTGGTGGAGGAAGAGAAATGGTGCCTGACATAAACTTTTGTCAAGTGAACAACAACCTGGCTTTTACCTCCTAGGTGTTCATTGCACTGGTACGAAAGAGAATTATTGAGAATTATCCAGAAGGTGAGAGGGTGCAGAATTAGGTTTCATGAAAACAACGATCTTTGTTTTTTTATCTTCAATGTATCTCAAACACTGGAGAAAGTAGCTGTCCCTTAGTGTACAGAATGGTGAGACAAAGTACAAGGACCAATGCAACAGAAATATATCAAGACAATAGGTTGGAAATGATCTGTACAACTTGCAGGAAGGGTTTGGAGGGAGGGGAGGAAAGTAGGAGAAAAATGAAGGAAGGGGTAACAAGGTTGATAAGAAAGGTACTTATTTACCTTACTTATGTAACTGTAACCCTCTGTACATCACCTATAAAATTAAAAAAATAAAAACAATTTAAAAAGAAAGTAGAAAACTGACTTGCTAGAAAATGATTTGAAACATCAAAGAATTTACCCAAATATACACCCAAAAGACATTTTTTAAAATTTTTATTTTTGGATCCAGTCGTGGGGCCTGAACTCTGGGCTTGGGTGCTGTCCCTCAGCTCTTCAGCTCAAGGCTAGTGCTCTACCACTTGGGCCCCGCGCCACTTCTGGCTTTTTTCTTTTTGCTTATGTTGTGCTGAGGAATCGAACCCAGGGCCTCAGGCATGCAAGGCAAGCGCTCTACCACTGAGCCACCTTTCCAGCCCCCAAAAGACATTGTTATACAATATGACTCATATTCAATGAATTACATGAAGTTCCATATGATTAGAACTTTGGGATGAATTCTAGTAGTTCTAGATGTGTTTAAAGTATCATTAGAAGGTTAATTACCAACAAACTTTTTTTTCAAAAATAGATATTTATATTCTTTAAGTAGTTATACAAAAAAGTTGCCATTCAACAACAAAGCAATTTATGAATACAATGCATCTTGGTTAATGACACCCTTTCCAACATTTCATCTCTCCCTCCCCATCCACCCCTTTCCTCACTTTTCTTAATTTTGTTAGATCTGCATTGATTTCTTTTTTTTTTGGTCAGTCGTGGGGCTTGAACTCTGGGCTAGGACCCTGTCCCTCAGCTCTTCAGCTCAAGGCGAGCGCTCTACCACTTGAGCCACAGTGCCACTTCTGGTTTTCTAGTGCTTTATTGGAGATAAGAGTCTCACGGACTTTCCTGCCTGGGCTGGCTTTGAACTGTGATCCTCAGATCTCAGCCTCCTGAGTAGCTAGGATTACAGGCATAAGCCACCGGCGACCAGCTGCATTGATTTTTTTTTTTTACTGCATTCTTGCCCTTCTCTTCCCTTCCTTTCTCTTTTCTCCCTTTCCCTCTTTTTCCTTCCCCCTTTCCCCTTTCCTTCCTCTTCTCCCCCTTTCTCTTCAACTCCTCTCCTTTTCTCTCCTTTGCTTTCATTCCTTCTCAACTCTTCTTCCTTTTATTTTCTTTGCTAAGGAATTTTATAACTTTTTTAGGATTTTTAAACATGAAGATACTTAATAAAAAGTACATTTCAATGTCTCTAGCTCTACCACTTGTCAACCATGTCAACATCTATTTTGCCATTTATTCTCTTGCTTTCTCCTGTCTCCTGCAAGAGGTTTCCATGTCCGAACAACATGCCTTTTTGTATCTCTGCTTCCTAAATAACTGGGAAATAATTTCTTCAATCACCCTTCCTAGGACAACATGAATGGAGGTTAAAAGAAAACTGTAGCTTGAATTTATGCTTTCAATGTCTGCCTTTAGTCTGCAGGATGAAAGAGGAGAAACAAACCATTGAAAACAGTTTCATGGGACATTTATTTTTCTTTTCTCAAGCACTGATTTTCTTCAGATTCTGTTTCTAGAGAAGAACCACTTATGATAATAAGACTACATATGAGAATCAGGGCCCGTATAGAGGTAAAGTTCATCTCAATGAGGTGTTGTTGACTTGATTGTTTGGCTGATTGATTTGTGCATTCTTTGTAGCTCTGTTTGCAAGATAAAGTTACAAATACATTTTAATTAGCAAGTATGTGCACACCAACCTTCATAGATTAAAATAACAAATTCACTTTTTACTGTAGAGTTGTTATTCAGTGGGGTTGCAGTTACATAAATCAGGTAATAAGTTATGAGTACAATTCTTTTTGAACCATGTCTCCCCTTCTGTTGCTCTCTCCCAGTTTCTCCCTCCTGTTCCTACCCATAGGATGTATAGCTCATTTCCCACATAATGTCTAGTGAATACCACTGTTAATCTTGTTCACCCTTGTTCTACCTTTTGTGTGCCCTTCCTTCCCTCCCAAATGTGAACCAACTAACAAAGATGACAAAAGGAAAAGAAAACAAAAACAGCAACAATGGTAACTAAAAATAGTCTCTTGTTTCCTTTTCTTGGAGTTCATTTAATAGAACATTATTTTATATGATCATATGTACATAGCTATTGAGCCTTTGTCAGCCACTTCTCTGTATATTCTCCTTTGGCCTCAATGTGTGAATGTCTAGAGTCCTATATAATTGATTATTTCTCAGTGTGTGCATATACATATGTGTATATATCATTGATCATTTTATATTTATGTATCATTAGTCAGTCAGTATATTTACTTGTAGATTTATAGCCACATTCTAGTTACCACAAATGCAGCCTGTTTCTTTGTCTCTGGCTTACTTCCCTTAAAATAATTTTTTTCCACATCTTTCCATTTCCTTCTGAATGGTACAATATTCTTTCTGATGAACCATAAACCAGGCCACACAAAAGCCACCAGCACAACCATGTTCACTGCAGTGTTGTTTACCACAGCCAAGATATGGAATCAACTCAGATGTCCCTCACTAGCTGAGTGATTCAGATTCATTTTAAATAATGGCTTATTAAGCTGTATGTAGAGGCTCTTAGTTTTCTCTCTTAACTAGTTTCTAATTAAATTTTGAAACTGCTGATATTGATCACTAAGTTCATTCTATACTCTCAATAATCATAAAGTTTTAAAGTTACCATCTTAGAATAGAGGAGTCATCTAAACAGGAATGTGACCACCAGAATAATAAACAGTAAAAGATATATCAGTGACAGAATGATTCTCATGTATCAGGTTTTGTTTTCTGTAGTTTACCTGCATACATTCAATATTCAAGGGAGCATACTTTCTAGATGAGAAATCTCTAACAGAGAAGTCAGGTAATTGCCCAAGTTTGCACAGTCACTCAATGGAAGAAGAGGACCCAAATACAAGTTACCTGCATCCGAACCTCACATTCCTACTCATTGCCCCAAACTACTGTCTCTCTAACACCATTCATATGTTTGGGTGCAAATACCTTATTAGAAATATGTTTTACAATAAATGTCTAACATTTGTAGTATTTGTCTTCATTTTTCATAATGGTACCTTTTGAGAGTATTTAATTTCAGAGCCTCCTGTTCTGTCTATGTATTTTATTTTAATTTTTTTGGTTGGCCGTGGGGCTTGAACTCTGGGCCTGGGCGCTGTCCCTCAGCTCTTCAGCTCAAGGTGAGCGCTCTACCGCTTGAGCTACAGCGCCACTTCCGGTTTTCTGGTGGTTTATTGGAGATAGGAGTTTCCCGCTCTCTCCTGCTAGGGCTGGCTTTGAACATCCATCCTCAGATCTCAGCCTCCTGAGTAGCTAGGATTACAGGTGTGAGCCACCAGCACCCTGCTATGTCTATGTATTTTAATGTTAGTACCTTTTGATACTACTGTACCTTAAGAGAAAGTTTCAAATCAAGAAGTAAAAATTTTCTACTTTTAGTTTTCCTTTGCTTAGTTTTTCTAGTCTGGTTCCTTTTCATGTAGTTGTATGATCCTCTTTATAAAAACAGTCTAATATTTGATAAGCATTATTCAGAAACTAGAGATCAATTTGGTAGGAATCGTCTCTATTTTATTGAATCCTTATCTCATGAATGTGATGGTCTCATATCTTCCTTAATGTCGCCCATCACTATTAAACAAAGTTAACACCAGTAAGAAGAAAATATTTGGTTGTTTTCAGTGTAAAGATCCCACATTTTCTTGGTCAAATTTAATAATTATTCTATACTACTATAGATGGAATTCACTTTTAAAATTTATTATCTTTAAGTAGCTGTAAAAAGGAATTACCATTTATCAAGGCAGTTCATGAACATAATCATGATCAATGCCAACCCTTTCAACATTCTTACCAATCTTTCCTCTACTCACCCCTTCCCTCACTGTTCTTAATTTTGTAGGATATACATTGGATTCTTGACTGTATCCTCCTCCTCTTAAATGAAATTCATTCCTGCATTTTTTTGTTTGCTTATATTAGTTGTAGTAAGAAAAATTATGAACCCTCAAGGATGCTGATATTCTAAAGCCTGGAAATTGAACAATATGTATCAAAATTGGAATCAAGCTTGCAGATGCAATTGATTGACTTCCAAATAGACAGATTATCTTGTAATATTCTGTTGGAACCATAGGGGACATATGGGACATTAAAAGTGGTAGAGAGACTCAGAGAGAGAGATGTGGCTTTATTGGCTTTGAAGATGGAATTGGGAGGGGGCACAAAATAGGGAATGTGCAAGATCCCTGGATACGCAACCAGACAAGTAAAAGACAAAAACGCTTTACTGGCATCTTCAAAATGCAACACAGGTGAGAGATTCCTCAATCATGTACCTGCTATGTTTTACTTCTTTCCCTTTTCTTTACAGGTATTGGCAGAAAACCTCACCGTGATCACTGAGTTCTTACTCCTGGGTTTCTCAAGCCTTGGTGACGTTCAGCTTGATCTCTTTGTGGTTTTTCTTTTTCTCTATCTAGTCATTCTCAGTGGCAATGCCACTATCGTCAGTATCATCCGCCTGGATCAGAGCCTCCACACACCCATGTACTTCTTCCTTGGCATCCTCTCAACATCTGAGACTTTCTATACTTTTGTCATCTTACCCAAGATGCTCCTTAACCTACTTTCTGTGTCTAGGACAATCTCCTTCACCTGCTGTGCCGTTCAGATGTTCTTCTTCCTTGGTTTTGCCATAACCAATTGCTTGCTGCTGGGGGTAATGGGTTATGATCGTTATGTAGCCATCTGCCATCCTCTCCATTACCCCATCCTGATGAGCTGGCAGGTATGTGGGAAGTTGGCAGCTGCCTGTGGGATTGGAGGTTTCTTGGCTTCTCTTACCGTGGTAAATTTGGTGTTCAGCCTCCCTTTCTGTAGCACCAACGAGGTCAACCATTACTTTTGTGACATCTCACCAGTCATTCGCCTGGCTTGTACCAATACAGATGCCCATGAACTTGTTATATTCATCTGTGGGGTTCTTGTCCTCGTGGTTCCCTTTTTCTTTATTTGTGTTTCTTACCTCTGCATTCTAAGGACTATCCTGAAGATTCCCTCAGCAGAAGGCAAACAGAAAGCCTTTTCCACATGTGCCTCTCACCTCACGGTTGTAGTTATTCACTATGGCTGTGCCTCTTTCATCTACTTAAGGCCTACAGCAAAGTATGTGTCTAATAAGGACAGACTCGTGACAGTGACATACACCATTGTCACTCCGCTACTAAACCCCATGGTCTACAGCCTCAGGAACAAGGATGTTCAACTTGCTATCAGGAAAGTGCTAGTAAGAAAGGATCTCTGAAACCATATATATAAAGCATTACTTGGGGGCTGGGAAGATGGCTCAGTGGTAGAGCACTTGCCTTGCATGCATGAGGCCCTGGGTTCTATTCCTCAGCACCATATAAGCAAAAAGAAAAAAGCCGGAAGTGGTGGTGTGGTTCAAGTGGTAGAGCACTAGCCTTGAGCTGAAGAGCTGAGGGACAGAGCCCAGGCCCAGAGTTCAGGCCCCACAACTGGACGCCCCCCCCCAAAAGCATTACTTGGGGGTAGGGAGGGAAAGTGAGAGGAAAGGAAGGAGATGACAACACTGTTCAACAAGAAATGTACTCATTACCTTACTTATGTAACTGTAACCCCTCAGTACATCACCTTTACAATAAAGTAAAATAAAATTTAAAAAATATTGTATTTTAATTTTTTTATAAGTAATACCCTCTTTTAATAACACATAGTATATCTAATTGAAAAATTATAGTACTCTTGGGACTAGGAATGTAGTTCAATGGCAGAACTCTAAGCATGCTCAAAGCTTGGATTTGATCGCTAGCACCTCTAAACTCCCTTAAAGGAAAAAAAAAATAAGACTTTAGGATCACATCATGAAATGTTTATCTTCTTACAATCCCTTTTTTAAAAAACTTTTTTACCTGTGAGCAAGTAGCTCATGCCTGTAATCCTAGCTATTCAGGAGGATGAGATCTGGGGATCGCGGTTCAAAGCCAGCCCAGGCAGGAAAGTCTGTGAGACTCTTATCTTCAATTAACCACTGGAAAATTGGAAGTGGCACTGTGGTTCAAGTGGTAGAGTGCTAAACTTAAGCTGAAGAGCTGAGGGACAGCGGCCAGGCCCAGGGTTCAAGCCCCCACTGACGAAAAACAAAAAACCTTCTCAAATTATTTTTTATCTTTAAAAAATGTATTGAAAAGGTGATGAATGGGAGGTTACAGTTACATAAGTAAGGTAATGAATGCATTTATTTTTAAATACTTTTAATTTTAATCTGCAAGTCAATGTTCTTCAAGGTTTCAAGTGAAATAACCAGGTCAGTATGATACCAAAAATTGTAAATTCAATCTAAAGCCAAAATTTCTCTCTGTTCTTGGTGTTGGTCTTTTTCAGGGAAGGCAGGCTTTGCTGGGAGCAATGAAGGCTGATGTGTACCTTAGCAGCCACTTCTTCATCTTACCACAGCGACTGTATGCTTAAAAATTACAATAGGAGGGCTGGGAAGGTGGCTCAGTGGTAGAGTGCTTGCCTCACATGCATGAGGCCCTGGGTTTGATTCCTCAGCACCACATAAGCAGAAAAAAGAAAGCCAGAAGTGGCGCTGTGGCTCAAGTGGTAGAGTGCTAGCCTCGAGCTAAAGAGCTCAGGAGACAGCACCCAGGCCCAGAGTTCAGGCCCCACGACCAACCAAAAAAATAAAAATTTACAATGGGAGGTGGAAGGAAGCCCCTCGGGTGAGGGGCTCTTAGGACCATGAGACTGTCCTCACGTAAGGATGTTTAATGGTTTCTTTTCTTTTCTTTTGTGTCAGTCGTGGGGCTTGAACTCTGTTCTTAGGTGCTGTCCCTGTGCTCTTCAGTTCAAGATGAGTGCTCTACACCTGAGCCACAGTGGCACTTCTGGTTTTCTAGTGGTTTATTAGAAATAAGAGTCTCACAGACTTTCCTTCCTGGACTGGTTTTGAATCATGATCCTCAGATCTCAGTCTCCTGAGTAGCCAGGCTTACAGGCGTGAGCCACCGGCGCCGGATGTTTTATGGTTTCTGAAAGAATTGCCTTCTGGGATCTTAGGCCATATTTCCTGAGGTAGAGATGACACCTTGTGAATTTGCTTCTTCGTTCTGAGAAATGGCCCTCTTTCTGGGCCACCAATCTGAGATTTATAGGGAAAACTCCTTTTTAATTGATTCTAGAATGACTTTGTACCAATTTGTCCATATCTAATACAAAAGAAAAAGAAATGAGCATCGTTGCCACTCATCATCACACAGAGTGTCATTTCTACAGCCTGGAGTATCAGGCCAATGACAGAAGATTTCTACCTTTAAATTACTTAGGCCTCATATAGCTATCTATTCTGTCCCTAGAAGATGCAATGTAATTTCCAACTGTGCATTCAGGAGGAAGATAGAACATGTAAAAATTCAATAGTTTCCTAAGAATATATTTGATTCTTTTTTTATTAAAAATAAATATTTTCTTCTTCCAATCTTTGTGATCCAATGAAACTAAGAAAAACATTTGCTTGAAAATATCATTGCAGCCAGGTGTGAGTTAGTCTTGCCTGTAATACTAGCTACCCAGGAGGCTGAGATCTGCAGCTCAAGGTTTGAAAAGTCCAAACAGCAAAGTCAGTGATACTCTTATCTCTATTTAACCAGCAAAAGGCCAAAAGAGGAGCTGTGGCTCAAGGGGTAAAGGGGTGGTCTTAAGTGGAAAAGGTAAGGGACAGAGCTGAGACCCTGAGGTTAAATTCTGGGACCAGCACACACACACACACACACACACACACACACACACACACACACACACACACACACACAATTATGGCATGTTTTTCCTGTAGAAAAAGGTATTATGATGCTATTTATTGGCAAATATTTAAAAAATCCAGAATATAGCTGTGTGTATAACAAGTCAAGCCATTGGCATGCCCAGTATGACCTTAATTTTTCTACATCACATATTGAAATAAACTTTCCTTAAAAGTTTCATAACGAGAAAAGTTTGCTTACTATGTAGTTAAGTTTAAAGTGTTTAAGGTCTACCCATAGACCCACTTAATGAGCTTCCTTTGATGTGGCTAATTTCATATAAACTATTGCACCCAATTTTTTTTTACCATTTACTCTTTTATCACATTTAGCACTTAAGTTTTAAATTTTCTCTAATTTTACAAGAAAAAATTATAACTTTATGTCACATATTTAACATCTTATAACATTATATGACAAAGGAAATGAACTAGCATCTATCTGTGCTGCTCTTTTCTAGATCGCCTTAGTGGATTTCATTTCCCCTTCAAAGTTGACTTTCCACAAAGCTCATGATAGAGTAGAGGAAGAAGCTATCCTGTTTATCATAGCACCCACAGTTACCTAGAGTGATACTCTTTCTTGTTACTTTTATTGAGACAATCAGGATGACCAACAGTATATTTTAGAAAAGGCGTCTGAATACTGACTAGGTACACATTAATATCACTAAATTATGTTTTGTCATGAATGGTGTTTTCTATATTCTCACTTGAGATTTCCCAAGGAAGATCTGTAAGTTTATTAAAAATTATTGTTAAGCTATAACCTGAGACAGTACTATAAAAATTTCCAACAACCAAAGGTGATTATTGATTTTTCAGCCAAACTCTAAAAATTCTTAAAATCCTAAGAGATTTATCATGGTACTTTCACCTTCCATGCAGATTCCCCATACCACTACTTCTAAACTCAAGGGAAATTGTTTCACATCTTTGTTTAGTTTTGTTTGAAACAGTGTTTTAATATGTAGCCCTGGCTGACTTTGAACTCACTGTGTACACCTGCTGGACTCAGACTCCCAGGGCAGGTATACAGACATGTACTATCATGTCTGCTTAGCGCTTCAATTTTTATTACAACTGCATCCTGTCTTTGGATACTAACATCTGAAACATTATTTATTGCTGTATAACAAACTATCTTGAACTTTAGTTGCTTAAAGTAGCAATAATTATGTATTTTGCACATGAATTTACAATTTTGTCAGAGATCAGTGGGGACAGATTGCATTTTCTCTATCCAGATCCAGCTTGATTGTTCCTCTGGGCCATCTCAACATTGTTTACTTACATTGCACATTAGTTCATGTTTGCTACTGATTGTATTCAGCTGGGAATGTTGGCAAGAGTGTTGGTTTTCTGCCACATGGATTCTTCAAGGGTTGCTTGAACTTCCCCAAAATATGGTGGTTAGGATGGAAAAATATTAAAAGATGTTCTAAGAAATAGGAAGAAGAAGGTGCCAGATTCTAAATATCAGAGTTTATAAATGGTTGCAGTGTAACTTTAGTTATAGAATAGTGGCCAAAAAATATCTATCTCCATTTAAGGGGAAGGGCTTTCTAGGTGAGAAGTATAAAGCAAAAGGTCTGGTTGTCTTTAATCTTCTGTACATCTACAAGGAAGATAAAGCCTGTGGATGAATTTTCTCAGCAAAAAAGGTCTAGTCATTGTCCCAATCATAGATAAAACTAAGGATAAAGAAGTCACTACTATTCCTCAGTTAAAAACTTGGGTTTGTTTTTTCTTAACTTCCTATTTCTGCAAGCATCCCTGTCATAACTCATAGAATTGCAGTTTGTAAGAGCTTTTCTAAGAGACATCTATGAGTGTTTAGCATTTGATCATTTGTCAGCTGAAATATTTGGAAGTTATATGAGAAAGAATCAGTGTGGTACCTAAAATATGGAGAGCTCCAAAGCACTCTTCAAATATCTAAACCAAGGTGCAATCAATCACATTTTTCTCCACAACTCCAAACTTCTTTTATTTATTGAACAAATATTTACTAACCTCATATTAAATTGCAGGAATAAAACATGTTTCCTCTGAGTCTTAAATATTTATGCTGCCTCTGACATTCTAATATTCTGTCCTCTGTTCTTCATATCTTTCTTCCCTCTTTTAGACTTGGAAGTGGGAAATATGTTATCTTTAAAAAAGAGCTTTCTTGGCATGTTATATGCATGTATTAAAAATGGCCACAATAAAATACATTATTCTAGACAATATACATTCATTAAAAAGTTATGAAAATGAAAATTTGGAAGCACAGGGTTGAAAAACCCAAAGGAGGCAGTTTCATTGATGTCTAGTTTAAGAAATGGTCGAGAAACCCTCTACTTTCTAATAAGTGTCCAATTAATTTCCATGGTGTATTAGAAAGGGCCTTCTCTTGGGCCAAATAATTCTTATAGTGTATTACCATCTATGATGCTACTTCATAATTGGAGAAAATATGGACAATTTAGGTACAATGTGATAATTAGCTCCCTATGGAGGTAGAGATCTCAGTTACCAATGAAGTAATTGGCACAGAGGTCTTAGCCAATGTAAAGGCAAAGACCATTGGCAATATTCATTGAAGCAACACCTAAGATATTTATAGAGAGAAGACAGGTGATATTCTGATGTGGACTATTTCTTGTGGTCTGGTCTAAAGTGTCTGGGAAATGAAAGAAGAGGCTTCTTGAATTGTAACAGGGAAAACATGTTGGCAAATTGCACTTAGACACTTCCAGAAACCTCCTTCAGGAAACAGCAGGAAGTGCTCAAGAATGAAGACACCTACATGTCATGTTGCAGCAGAACTCAGCTTTGAAGGAATTTGAAATATTCTATTTAGGACCTATGATTTCATAATCTGAAGAACGAGGTCTATGCATAATTTAGTAGTAGGTAAAATTTTAAATTGTGGTGTTTTACTCATGACTTAACTCCCATTTATACCCCTAAATATTAGCCGTAGGAAAGAAACCTGGCAAGTGAATGGTGGAGGTGATGTTCCAGGAAGAACATAGCTGGGGACTTTGCCCCAATCAAATGCATAATGTATGCTTCTTAGTCATTAAGTTTGTAATAAAGCAATTTAGTGAAATATAAAAGTGGTAGTTCATTCAAGCCAAACTAAAAATTTTGTTAAACCTTTGTTTAAGCAAAACAGCAATAGCAGAAATTTAGTTAGCTGCAAAGTAATTCAAACTTCAAAGTAAAGGTGTTAAAATTTTAAAATAGAGCTGGGAAGTTGGCTCAGTGGTAGAGTGCTTACATGCATGAGGCCCTGGATTTGATTCTTCAGTACCACATAAGTAGAAAAAGCCAGAAATGGCACTGTCACTCAAGTGGTAGAGCACTAGCCTTGAGCTGAAGAACTCAGGGACAGCACCCAGAGTTCAGGCCCCCTGACCAACAAAATTGTTTTTAAATGAACAATGAAATAGTAAGCATGAAGACCACTGGATTGGAAATGTAGATAAACTAGCTACTGTTGCTGCTTCTCCTCCTCCTTCTCTTCCTCTTTTTTTCCTCCTTCTCCTCCTCTTCTACTTCTTCTTCCTTCTCCTCCACTTCTTCTTCCTCCTCCTCCCCCTATTTTCTTCTCCCCCCTTCCTCTTTCCTGCAGTTTTGTGAAGGAAAGCTGGCTCTCACAGGTGTCAGGCAAGTGCTCTGCCCACACCCCTACATCCTAACTCCCAACTTCAGAAAGTTAATTAATTAAAAGACTAACATGTTTGGAAAACTCCTAGAGTCTGATAATGAGTTAATGGAGGAATTGGATAATTCATATTTACTTTTTTCAACAAACTTCATAGCCTTTAGCATATACTGAACACTGGTGACAGATATTGGGCATGCTTCATAGACTTGAAGGCAAACATTTATTACAATAGTGTTGCAGCAAATACCTTTAGTGATTACTAAAAAAAAACCTCAGAAGAAGTCATATAGCATGGTTAGCATGCTACAAGATTTCATAAGTCATGTCTTCAAATTGAAAATTGGGAGAAATCCATGAAATTAAGAGAGTTGGGTTTAGGAGACATGAGCGAGAATGGTGTAAGGGGTGATGTTAGGAACTCCCAAACGGATACGTTGAATTGAAATCCCCCGGTATGCAGATTAAAGATGATATAAAAGGATAATGTCAACAAAAAAAATAAGAATGAGATATTTCCAGATGTTGGAAATACTGTGAAAAAATGCCATGATAGTTTAAAATGCCTCAGTGTTGAAGTATGGAAGAAGTGGCAGTTATGAGTAGAAAGGTAGTTTTGAGACAAGTAGGAAGACTCTAGAATATTTTACAGATGATTTAGGGCTGATTAGTTTGGGTAATAAAATAAGATTTGCCCTATGTAAAGCAAAACATCTCTGGAGGATGGTTTGAAGTAAGTAGTGGTAATCTAGGGAGTTCATTTATAATAGTCTTCAGCAAGAGCTAATTTCTTGCAGAAAAGAATGAATCGATTGTAGAGGTTCTTCAGACAAAGAATAAATCAGATCTGGAAGATAAGAAAACTGGTGAGTTTAAATGTTTCTTAGAAAGTAGAGCTGTCATGACTAAGAGTACGGTGAAACGCTATTGAGATGCAGAATCTAGATAGAGGAGCACATTGGACAGAAGGTGAGAAAGGATAAAATGTTTTGATGAAAAGACATAAAATTTAGAGTTCCAGAAATGATAACGCTTTCAGAGAGTTCCAGAAATGATAACTGTTTCAGTGGCTTTAGGGGGAAGTATCTGAACCTCCTTATTCAGGAAATCTGAGGCAGATCCTTCCTGAGGTGACAGTTTGTTGATCCTCTAAGTCAGGGATATCAAAAGTAAGACATAACCGGACCATCAGCATTGATGTGACACTAAATTTTCTAGCCATGTGTTTTCTATAAGGAGAGGTCAGGTCTAGTGGCTGATAAGAGTTTTAGAGAATCATAAAGTTAGTTCTAAGATAGTGGCAGTAGTTTGATACCGAATCAGTTCTAATGGGTGGCTTTGTGGAAGCAGAAAAACCAATTAGTTGTGCCTGGGAACTGTGCTACCAAAGGGCATGTGATCAATGGATGCTTCTCTAGATTGGGAGTAAGTGAAGAGAAGGTGTGTGTGTGTGTGTGTGTGTGTGTGTGTGTGTGTGTGCGTATACTCAGATATTGATGCTATTACTTATATGTGTGTATATGTGTGCATGTATATATACATATATATATCAGTATATTTACTGAGTTTGAGGGAAAAGTCTGATCACTCAAAATAATAAGTAGATAAATGCTTCTGTATAGATTAAACGAGTGAAAAATTAAGCAGATATTGCCTGTCATCGCCTGAACTTGTCCCTCGATTCACAGGAAAATGACTGGCAGGAAGGCAGTGACGTGAGTGCATTTCAATGTACAATAACTCCCAATTCATTAAAAACCTCTCCCCCTCTCTCTCCCACGTTTGCTTCATTCAGACATGACTGGATGGCTGCTTTAGGAGGACAACGGTACTTCTGTCTGATTGACTTTTAGTCCAGGGGAGCAGCTCTTCATGGCTAACTCCTCCTTGGTGACGGAGTTCCTCCTGTTGGGTTTCTCCAGCCTCGGGGACCTGCAGTTTGTTCTTTTTGGGGTGTTTCTCTGCCTCTATCTGGTCATCTTGAGTGGGAACGTCATCATCATCTCAGTGGTCCGCTTGGACCGCAGTCTGCACACACCCATGTACTTCTTTCTGGGTGTTCTTTCCACCTCAGAGATCTTCTATACACTTGTCATCCTGCCCAAGATGCTTATTAACCTGTTCTCTGTCCTGAGGACGCTCTCCTTCGTGAGTTGTGCCACCCAGATGTACTTCTTCCTCGGGTTTGCCCTCACCAATTGCCTGCTGCTGGGGGTGATGGGTTATGACCGCTACGCTGCCATCTGCCACCCCCTGCGGTACCCCACTCTCATGAGCTGGAAAGTGTGTAAGCAGCTGGCAGGAACTTGCATTGCTGTCGGCTTCCTGATGTCTCTAGTAGGGACAAATTTGGTCTTCAATCTCCCTTTCTGTGGTCCGAACAAGGTTGACCATTACTTTTGTGATATCTCACCAGTCATCCGCCTAGCCTGTGCTGAGAGTCACGTCCATGAAATGGTCATCTTCCTCTGTGGGGTTTTCTTGCTCGTGGTGCCCTTGACCTTCATCTGCATCTCTTACAGCTTCATTGTCCGCACCATCCTGAAGATACCATCCACTGAGGGCAAGCAGAAGGCCTTCTCCACCTGTGCCTCCCATCTCATTGTGGTCACCGTCCATTACGGCTGTGCATCATTTGTCTACCTGAGACCCTCCACCAAATATACCACAGGCAAAGACAGGCTAGTGACAGTGACCTACACCATCATTACCCCACTACTGAATCCCATGGTGTACAGCCTCAGGAACAAAGATGTACAGCTGGCCATTCGCAAGGTGATTGGGAGGACTGGCTTTTCTCTTAAGACTTTATAAGCAAAGCATTTAGCAATTTCCTTCTGTGAATCTGGGGGATAAACTCAGGGATTTTTGTTACTAGGTAGGTCCTTTACCACCTGAGCTGTCTCTCAAGTCCTTTTCATTTCGGAAAAGATCTTGTATGATTATAGGGTTGGCTTAGACATCAATCCTCAGGAAGGTGGGGGGACAGGCATATACCACAATGCCCAGCTACTCATTGAGATGAAATCTTAATAACTCTTTGCCCCAATTAGCTTTGAACAGCAATCCTCCTTCATCTTTGCCTTCTAAGTAGCTGGAATTATAGGCATGAGCCATCACAACTGGATATTAGAGTACTTTTTTTTTTTGCATTTTTTAATTGTGAAAATACCATATAGAGGGGTTACAATTACATGAGCAAGGTAATAAGTACATTTCTTATCAAGCATTGTTGCCTCCTCCTTTGTTTTTCCCCTAGTCAGAATACTTTTTAATAGTACATATGTATGTTTGGGCCAATTGTATTCCCTGTTATTTAAGACATGAAAACATTGAGTTTATTTGTCTGTTTATGACCTCGGGTGAGTTGTTTGACATTTTGGCCCTTACTGTTTCCTTTTGTAAATAAAGAATATTTTCTTCTTGAGATTATGGTAAAGATTATATATGTATGCACACAATAGAGCTTTATTTAGCTGTGAAGAAGAATAAAATTATGTTGTCTATGGATGAAACTGATGTTAATGTGAGGTGAAACAAGCCAGTACCACAAAGACAAGTATTGCATAATTTCTCTCATATGTGGAAATTAGTGGAGGAGGGAGGATTTGGAATTAAAATGTAGGCTGCTAGGATTAGAAAAGAGAAGGAAAAAAGAGAGAGGGCAATAAGAAAGAGTAATAAAGGTGGTGAATGTGATTTAAAAGTATAGAATATGATTATATGCATGTGTGGAAATGTCACAATGAAATTCCTCACTTTGTGCAATTAATATGTACTGAAAATAAAGATCAAAAGAATTAAAGTATGATTTTTTCCTCCTTTCTCCCCTCTCTTCCTCCCTTCCTTCTTCCCTTCTTTCTTTCTTCCTCCTCCTCCTTGTCTTCCTTCTTTCTCTTCCTCCTTTTCCTCCTCTTCCTCTTTCTCCTCTTCTTCTCTCTCCAGATTTACAGCTCTCAAAAATTTTTTACAACCATTATTCCTTGCACTGTATTTGACTTGTCTGTCCCCAAACCCAGATTGTATGTTTTGTTTAACGTTATATTCAGCATTAGACCAGGCTGCCAGGCCTGAATATGGCTTTGATCAAATATCATGGCATGGAACAAGGTAATAATACTTGGAATTAGATGAATTAATGACTGGATATTATTTAGGACACAGTCTAAACTATGCTTTTTCTCTGAGTCTAAATTTTAGTATATTTTAGAAAATGCAATTTCTTTCTTTTTTTGGCTTCACAAAAGTTTTGTGTTATATCTAGTAGATAATATAAAAGAAATCATACAAAACATAATACATTGGATGTAAGAGAGTAAATGAAGTTCTGTTCATCTCTGTTAGGACATCATTTCATTCAGATTCTCTAAAAGTTCATCTTGTTCATAAAAAGTTAATAAAAAGATTCCTTTTTATGACCATTCATTTAATGTCTCCATTTACGTGTTCTATGAATGGACAGAAAAATGGTCATGTCTCCTCTCTCACTCGGTTAAAAGTTCTTTCCATAGGATCTCTGTGAACATCCACCTAGAACTCATTAAGAAGGAGCTACACAATTTTAAATCTATCATAACGCTCCATAGTATTAGAGAAGGAATGGCCCTCATGGCCAGCTGGTCCTGCTTCTCACCTGTACAGAAATTCTTTCACCACCGTCTCTGAGGGAATCTCACTCCCATGGACTGAGCATCGGCGATGTCACTAAATGTGACTAAATTCCTTGCTTCTCAGCTCTTGTTAATACTTGCCTCAATTCAACTGCTGTTTGCCTCTGTGATTTCCATAGATTCAGTTTCATGTCACATGATTCATCTTATCTTGATTCCCAAGATGCTTCGGATAGTTTTTCTATGACTTATGTAATCTGAATTTCTGATATCTCCACCACACTAAGTGGGCTGCAGCGTAAAGCACAACAAAAACTAATGTCCAGATCTCATGTGTGACTTCCTGTTCAAGTGTGTGACATTATTTCCCTCTGATCTGTTAATCTAATTTAGATGTTCAGACTAAAGTATAAAATAATCTTCCTTAAATTTTAAAGTTTTTGCCTATGTTTTTCTATTTTCTTCAACTGCTAGATAAAATATTTTTATTAAACTAATTCAATTATTTTATTATAATATATCAATGTGTGTGTGAGAGAGAGAGCAAGTGAGAACGAGCGAGGGCGATCAAGCAGGAGAGAGAGAGAGATCAAGCAGGAGAGAGAGAGAGAGAGAGAGAGAGAGAGAGAGAGAGAGAGAAGGAGGGAGAGGGAGAGGGAAAGGGAGAGGGAGAGGGAGAGAGAGAGCATGAGAAAGGCCCTGTTAGGATTTCTTAGTTCTGAAATAAGTACTTCCTTCATTGCATTTGTGTTTAAAGGCTTTTTGTTATATTTCTAGCAACATCATCTTATGAATTTTGTTGCAATTGTCTTCTTTTGAAATGCTAAAAAGAATGTTTGGGATTTGATGTAGACATTATATCCATTAGTGCTAATGTGACAGAGGCATAAAACCACATAAAAGCGCTCCTCACAAGGGTAAACAGAAAGGGAGAACAACTGGGATGTTTTGAAACAAAGACAAAGGTAGGGGGACAATGAGGATTGCAAGGGTCTAAGCAGAGGAGAGAAAGCAAAAGTGCACCTGCAGACAGGAGGGAGCCAAGCCAGGGCAGGTAGGGACTTCATGGCATCCTTTGTTCATGGTGGGTCACCCAGGTGACAGTGACAAGAGGAAGCTTGGCTTCATGACTGATAGAGAACACAGCCTCTCTGGCAGAGAGTCTCAGATTAACTGCAGCGAAAGACCAGGTCCTCGTCCCATTTTATGAAACCCAGTCCTTTAGTAAACGATGATAATGATGAGTTGCTACGTGCTAAGGAAGTAGATAGTGCTGTCACTACAAACAAGATGCATGTGAGATAATCAGTATATACACTGCAAAACGTCATGTTTTATGTGATATATACAAATTTGTCTGTCATATATATTTAAAATTATATTTAAATAGTTGTACAAATGGATTTCAATTTAACATGTCATTTTATCAAGTCAATGCATCTTGCTCAACTTCTCTAGCCATAAAAGAAATGCAAATCAAAACAACATTGAGATTCCACCTCACCTCAGTTAGAAGGGCTATAATCAAGAAATCTAATAACAACAGAGGCTGGAGGGGATGGGGCCAAAAGGGAACATTAGTGCATTGCTGGTGGGAGTGTAAACTTGTTCAACCATTTTGGAAAGCAGCATGGAGGATCCTCAAAAAAACTACACATAGAAACTCCCCTATAACCCACTTTGGGCATTTACCCAAATGATCACAAACAAGACCACACTAAAGCTACCAGCACAACTATGTTTATTGCAGCATTATTCACCATAGCTAAGATATGGAACCAATTCAGATGATCTTCAGTAGATGAATGGATCAAGAAAATGTGATATATATACACAATGGAATTCTATGCCTCCATCAGAAAGAATGTCATTACCACCTTTGTTAGGAAATGGAAAGACTTGGAAAAAATTATATTAAGTAAAGTAAGCCAGGCCCAAAGAAACATAGGTACCATAGTTTCCCTTATTTGTAATAACTAGTATATGTCTAGGACAAGCAGAAAAGGTCAAAAGCTATGTACATATGACCATAACATGGTGCTAAGTGAAATGAACCCCAAGGTAGGGACACAAGAGGTTTTATCTTTCTTGCTATTTTTTAAATGTACTTATGATGTTCTATGTGATTTTTTTGTTTCTCTTGTATGTTCTTCCCCCATGGTATAACCCATTTTCACTATATTTGATTCCAATGCCCTGAATCTTGTATAAACATTTTTCTAATTTGGGGAGGGGAGGGGAAATAACAAAATGCTGAAATAAGGATACAGGTTGACCCATTGTAACAGTGAGATGTACAAGACACTATGTTGAAAATGAACCTTACAACTTTGTGGAGGGGGGAGGGAGAAGTTGGGGAGGTCAGGAGGGAAGGGATGGTAGGGGAAAAACAAAGGAGGGGGTAACAATGCTCGATAGGAAATATACTTATTGTTGTTTTGGGGTGGTTTACCTTACTCATGTAACTATAACCCCTATGTACAGTATCTTTACAATAAAATATATATTAATAAAAAAGACAATGCATCTTGATTAATGTCACCTCTTCTATCATTCTTTTTCATGTATATATAAATATATATTATTCACTTATATTAATATATAATAAAATATTATATTATGTATAATATGCTACATATTATATGATAATGTAATATAAAATATATAATATGTAATTTATATATAATTTATATTATATATGTATAATACATAACATATATGTTACTAAAATTACGTAAAGGAGGAAAATTAAGTAAAGGAGGAAAAAAGTCAACGTCCAGAAAAATGAAGTGAGACTTATGAACAACTTTGTGCTCTGCTCCTCAGATGTGTCCACCGATGGAGCATTTATATGCCTCAGTAATACCAAATCCTAGAAAGACTGCTGCCTCTGTTGAATCCAGGAGGCGGTCAGTGGGAATCCCTGGAGCAGGACTTCTCTCTGTGCCCCTGTTCCAATGACAGCCTCCCTGGATTCAACAGAGATGGCAGAGCCAGAATGACCCCCTGAGGAGTGTGGGGATCTGAGGTCTGATCAATAGGCATCAGTCCGTGATTGGAAGTGGCCTCTGCTCCAGGCAGGTTGCTACCTTGGCCAAGACTTGTGTGTTGTTGACAAATGTGCCTGAGGGAGCTGACAGCTGGAGTCTTCAGCATCGCCATCAGTGAAGCAACAGGCACTGCATTTGAGGCAGCACGTCTAAG